GGTGTAACACCTGATGCCTTTTAGCAAGTGTTGAAGATCTGAGATTACAATGGAAATCAACCAAAGAGATTATGCTTATGCAAAAGGATCAGGATGGTAATCAAAACAAACAGTGAATTATCACTGAAGATAAAAGGTTATTTTCAAAATTTGTCCCTTATGCTAACTGGGATTTACAACTCAAACTTACAAGTGAAGCTCTGCCGCTGAAAGTCTCAAGCTCGGATGGCAAAAAAGGAAGGTTTGGGATATATGTATTATCTAGATAGGCGACACCACCACTCAAAAGTTGGTTCTTTGCCGGAAGTATGTTACTAAACGTAATTTTAGAAACTAGATTAGGTGTTGTTGATATTGCTCCTCGCTCCTAACCGCTTTTATGACGGTTTAATCTTTTTCTAACCTACTTATTCATATTACTGTAATACATATAAAGAGGGCCCCTCAGGAAATGTTATATAAGTACAACTTTAGACAATAAAATTATGCGAATTGTGCATCACAACTGCAGGGTAAACATAACTGCATAACTGCAGGGTAAAATACCATGTAGACACAGCTAGTTCAAATGATATCCTATGCATCAATAAGCAAGACAGTAGTGAAACAGCGTCATCTTAATAAACAGAATATCGCTTATGAACAAATTCGATCCAAATTTTGTTGCTGGTAATGAGTATTAGCTGTACCCCTCTGAATTAGCTTCCAGATAATTAAATGTACCTATTGCCTGCAAATGCTTAAGTCCTATGGAGTCATCCGGTGCTTAAATAGCTCCTTGGCATACACAAAAACGAAGTGCGGTGCCATATCGAACGTAAGTTGTTTTGACTGAATGATGCTATTTATTAGGTGGGTATTTCTAACTTTGAAGGAGCGACTTGGAATTTACTGATCAAGGACAAGTAACTTCGACAACTGTTTTCTTTGATATTAGTATCATGAATGAATAATAGTTCAGACCATATGGCAGTAAACGATAAGTCAAGTTGTCGAAAATGAAAACAGCTAAGTAATAAAAGAAAACATTATTAACGATTAATCAGAACAGTAAATGATAACAAATGAAG